AAAAATGAGAACTATTTTGTGGTTCAAACTATACTTTTATCCACAATGAAATCTCTGTTTTTGTTGCTGTGAATCAATTCAGCGTTACGATCATCGTGCTTGCGACGCGGCATACACTTCGTTTGTAGATAGAATGTGTATGTCTGTTTCATTTGTGTATGTGAGAGTCAGTCAGCGAGCTGTATCTCAAGCGTGATGTTTGTAATGCTGGATTAGTTCATGGAATTTAAAATACTGCGTGCATATTGAATGTTTTTGCGATTCTCCAACTGATGGCCATTCAAACCAAGAAGTAATAATGGAAAAGAGAGTAAAAATAGAAGCGAAATACCAAAAAAGGAAAAAGTCTAACAACAGCGCGCACAGTGTATATAATACAAACAGTAATAACAACCGAGAGCACCAATGGCAATGGCATACAAACTATATATACGCAAACGTACACTCTCTGCACAAATACACCATGAATGGCATCAACCATTAACATCGAACAAAGCAGCGAAAAAGTGGGGAAGTGAGAAGAGCGCGTGCGATTCTCACAGTGCGTGAATATGTTTCATGTGCTGGGTTCATTGTGTGTGAGCCACTGAATGTATAAAAAAACAAATTTATTGAATTGATCTTAGTGGAGCTTTCTTGTTGTAACATTTCTTCGCTATCATCAGTCGCCGGTTTAGCGTGGATACAAGTGGATTGTGTTTGTTTTGCATTCGTTCGTTCGTTCGTTCGTTCGTTCATTTCATGTATACGATGCAAACGCTGGTTTTCATGCCGTTCGTACATTTGTAATATTGTCAAGTTATTTTATTCATATAATTGTGAATTTCCTATAAATAAAAAAGAAACGACCGACAATTTCGAATTCACATTAAATTAAAAAATAATTATACGTTTTACTTTCCTTGAAACTGAATGATTAAGTCAGTATATATAAACGTTCTAGTGAATTGATAAGAAGCGACGAGACAAAATCATTCAGAATTCAGTTCAATTCAAATTAAAAGCCCCTTGATTCCAGCACTGTGGTGAAAGCACAGAAATTGTGTGTAACAAAATTAATCGATAGAACAAAAAAAGCAAACACTGAAATTGCTTAGCGATTATTTGGAAATCATTTCAATAGAATAACGTTGAAATTGGCAATTTAAATAAAAGTCAAGTTTAATTCGGTTTGGCGAATTGTTGTAGCTCAGATATGTAACAAACAAAGCTACATTGATTTGTAAGAAAGAAAAACACCAATTTGAACAGTTTTGTGCATCGTACGAATTAAAAAGATATTGCGTTCGTAAATATTGTGCTTGCGAGAAAAAAATACAAGTAAAGTAAATGCATAGAACCACAAAAGGAAACAACATACGAAAATTATGCAAAGTATTACTCGACATAATCAAAACAATATAATTCATATGTTAATTTTTTCCAGGATTGTATTTAATACAATGAAAACAATTGAACCATGCGCGAATACGGTGTAATTTAGTACAATCAATTCAGAATAAGTGTATGCCAAACGCGCTAGAAATGTGTAGCAAAAAGAAAATTAATAAAAAAAGCAAACACATTTGACAAATTGACGATATCAGGAGTAAGATACTCCCGTATATATAAACAGAGCAGTAAAAAAGACATAAAGAGAGACACCGATTTCGAAACGTGGATTAATTTCGTTCGAAATCGACAGACGCTCAGTGCAAAAATTTCATCAACATCCTAACGACGTGCAACATTGGGGTGACTGATTTAGATAAGCAACATTTGGATTATATGTTAATGTCGTTGATTGTAAATGGTGCGTGTTATTTGAACTGTATAGATAATAGTAACTAGTTAGTATGCACAGCGTATTAAGACATCTATATAAATAACCCATTTGGATCTCGACAACCACTTTAAACGATACAGTGAGGTTATTCGGGGGTAAGAGTGATAGAGAGTAATATGTTCACATTTAAACTCTAGTATATATATCATATTTCTCGAATACAAAATATTGTAAAATAAGTTATTGTCAAAATCATACAGTTTCATTGCACGTTTGTTATCTAGTCTGATAAAATAGAAGTATTGAACCAAAGAGGACAATCACGCGGTTGCAGCAAGAGCATATACTACTAGCGACATCCCAAGAGACACGGAAAATATGTTTATATGCTTTTTATATGCCAAAAAAACACTGCAATATATATTCACGCCTATTGGACGCCTATCGAATATATTTTCTAGTGTATATTCGGCGTATTCTTCAACGTAGTACATACTGGAAGATATTTAAGCGGAAGCGCCATCTGATGGTCACGAATACATTCATTGATTGAATATGTTTCAATATGCTTCACGCTGAAGAACTAGAAAATATATTCAATGGGCGTCCAAAAGGCGTGAATATATTGCAGTGTATTTTTGATTTATAGAGAGCGTGTAAACAAATTGGCCGTTTCTCTTGGGATCTTGTTGCACGATATAGTAATGCCCTGTATGTTGGTATACACTTAACGTTTGCTGTCAAACCTGTACAATGTATTTTTCACTTACATTACTATATGGTGCAACAAGGTGTCGCCTGTGGTAAATTGCTGCAACGACGTCTAACACTGCACACTTCTTGTTGAAAATTTTCCGTACAGAGTGAGCTTTCTTATGGACATTCCTACGGGAAACTGTTGGCGCATTTTTTTTTATAACTAATAGTGTTAAACGGCATTGATCGTATGAAAACAATAAATGCAAGTTTGAGTGAGTGAAAGAGAAAGAGAAAGAGATGGCGTGTGTGCGTGCGTTCACTAAAAATGCAATTTCATCAATGACAGCATGTATACTACGACATATATGAACATATTCATTTCTTTTTCTATTATTTTCTCACCCCGCCAATAGATTTGACACATATGCACTTTAGCAACGAACCTGTTCAATAGTCAATTCACTCCCCTTTTTTTCAAATAAAACATTCATTTCAAATGAATGAACAGCGAACAGCACAGAGAAAAAAAAGATGAATACGTTAAAGTGACATAAACTCTATCGTTTACTTGACGAAACGAATCCAGCGAGCCAACTGCTTTGTAGTAATGCAGTTGATAATCCCTTTGTTTTGTAATGATTCTCTTTTGTTCACAAAAATGCTGAACACAATGGCATCGCTGATATTAGTTTTCGTGGGGGGATCGTTCTCTCATCGAACTATTTAATTCAATATTTAACTTCAGTTTGTTCCAATACATATTTTCCCCATGTACCATGAACTTAGCCCATTCGTATCGATCAATTTACTTAATGAAAATCAGATTTTGTTTTGGGCCACTACAATAACCTTAGAGACTTCTACAATTGATTCTGGGTTACTATAATTATCAGAGATCTCATTTTGTATACGGCTATATCTCGAGATATTATTAGCTCCTATTTTAGGTGATATCTGTGCATATTTTTCAATAGCAGCTACCGAACGAATGCACAATTTACATTACCAATATATTAGTTATGGCGATTTTTTTTTGTTTACAAACAACAAAATGGCAATGTTAAACTAAATAACGAACTTTTTACGTCTCTGTACTACGTACAGTGGCAATGCGTTGATATAGGCGGAATCACAATGTGTATGGAATGCATAAAATAAAGCGCCATCTGTGCCATGATTCTTTGGTTCGTATAAGTCCAATGTATTCAATTTGATCGCTCGAAAAACGTTCAAACGTTCAACATAATCATCCCATATAGTATTGCATAGTTCATTTTCCATAGACTTGGTGGCGCTTATATTGTGACAAACGTCAAAGCATAGGATTGTATACATTACATATTGTGATTCCGATATAGGCAGACTTTTTGACAAATAACGGTAAATAAATAAAACAAAAATCGACATCTATCTTGATTGTGTTCTATCCGTTGTTGTGTCTTTGTTTGTGTATTCATTCGGTAGCTGCTATTAAAAACATGCACAGCTATCGCCTAAAAATAGGAGCTACTAATATCTCGATATAAAGCTGTATACACGATGAGATCTCTGATAATTATTGCGGTTTTGGAACAGGTTGGATTTGTTCCATTTTAAATTAAAAACACGATTGATTTGAATTTTAAATTTTATTTACAATTTTATAGAACTAACAACAATATCGTACGGTGATATTTCGTGACTACGAAATTGGTTAACGTTTCAATTCTATGGACGGTGCCATATCGAAAATTTACGTGCGATATGGTGCACGCACTCAATAGTTCCACCTATTTTAATAAGGAATCTATATAGGTGGCGCTGCCACATCGTCATTTACATCGACTCAAATATCGTCAAATATAATAACATTGTTTATATGTATAGGCTTTTAGCGCAGTACGAACAATATAGATACTAAATAAAAAGAATTACATTGGTAATCCCAAACTTTTCCGTACCGTTGTCCTGCGTTGTCCGTAGGTACTTTTGGTTATTTTTTGTGAATAATAAAAATAAAGTGAAAAATCGGTCACTTTAACTAAAACTTCGACAATTTTGTATGTGAGGTACCCGTAAACCGATTCCCATTGGCTTCAAACTTTCTGAGGTTTCATTGTTTGGAGAAAAAATAAGATTCTGAAAGTTTCATGTTGATCTCATTTGCAGAAGTTTGGTTTTTGGCCCTCAATTTTTTCCAAGAAAATGTCGACAAAATTTGAGGAGAAAAAATCAAACTTCTGCAGATGCGATCAACATGAAACTTTCAGAATCTTATTTTTTCTCCAAAAAATGAAACCTCAGAAAGTTTGAAGCCAATCAGAATCGATTAACGGGTACCTCCCATACAAAAGTGTCAATTTTTTGAGGTTTTTCTTAGGGCAAGTACCCCCAGGGTCAAATCGAAAATGGCTCATCTTCAAACTTAAACTAAGTTTTTCGGATACAAAACTTTTGGCATTTCCAGATTTTGATTATCTCAATTATTTTTTGAGTTATCGTGTTAACAAACAGCTACGACGACAACGACAACGACAACGACGACGCCACACGAACGGAAAAGTGTCTCAAAAAGTGGTTTTCTACGCGTTTTCTGAGTTTTTATGATGATCTAAACCAATTTTGCGAAAAAAGTTTTCGGGACCAATTCCTATACTTTCCCTTGACACGTTGTGTACGGAAAAGTAATATTTACAATTTCGTCAGAAGGTAAAACTTTTTTGAGTGGATTTAATGTATTTAATGCTCCAAAAACCAGAGCGGTGAAACCGAACTGTCAAACTACAACGGGGACCGCGTAGTCGGTTGTCATTCGTTGCGGAACGCGCTAAAAGTATGCATAAGTACATGAGTACAAATTTCAAGCATTCTGGTTAAAAAATATTTCAATTATTTATAAAAATATACCTAGTGTATTAATATGAAAACCCATTTTTAAAAACATTATTCATATTTTAGGAACGTTTGAAAAAATACCGAAAAAGAATATGAACTTTCTTTTTTTTTGCTCAAAAACTCTTTGCTAACATTTTTCTTGTTTTTGATTGACAAAGTGAGGTTAAGTATCTACTGACATGTTCAATGAGTAGAACAAATTTTTGCACTCGGTGGAACAAAGCCATTGTGTGTTTAAGGAGCCACTTTATTCCCATGGCTCCTGAAACACATTTAAGCTCACTTTCTAGGAAGCGAACGTAAATAATGAGAAAATTGAATTAATTGATTTTAAAATTCATTTGAACATCAGCAAATCTAAAGAAAACTTAAATAAATTTGTTCATGTTGGACACATTTTTCTAAATTTGATAATGTGGATGTGTCATCCAAATCATTCATTGCATTTAAATAGGAAAGAAAGAAACAACATATTTTTACACACATATTCATTTTCCATTTGATTTTATCTTTTTTATTCACTCCATGAATAATATACGTTCACGAAAATACGTTGTCTTTTTCAAACATAGTAGTTCAAATTCAACGAGTCGTTCTACGAAGGTGCACTTAAGACTGTCTCGCGTATATTTAATTTGAACTTTATTCTGACAGCCGCGTTGTAATTGATGATGACAGTTCGGTTTCGCCGCTCTGCCAAAAACTGTTTGCTTTATGATTTTTGTGTGATGATCGTTTGTATTTATTCGATTAGGTTGGAATCCCAGATCTCTGATATTGTCGACAAATTCGATCTCTTTTCCATTTACGCATATTTTCGGTAATAATTCATAGTTCAGTTTGTGTAAATTGTTTTTTGATGATATGATGGTCACTTTTGTTTTTTTCTGGATTTATATCTATTCTATATTCGGCACAAAATTGTTCAACATTTTTAATATCATTATTGACAGTTTTGATGGCTTCATCAATTTTAACAATATCACATTTAGTATAAATTTGTACGTCATCCGCAAAAAGAATGGAATTGCAGTTTTGATGTATTTATTTATATTATTATTGATGAAAATGGAAAACAAAATTTGGGAATTGTTTTCATCTTGAATCATTCCCGGTGTAATGGTCGGAGGTTGTGATACTGTTTCTTTGTGTTTGACAATTTTCTGCCATTCACTCAAGAAACTTTTATACCACTTCATAGTAATATGATTACTAATACCCACACTTTTTCGAACTTGTATTATTCAGTTATTATCCACAGATCCAAATGCATTCGTGAAATCAAGTAATACCAGCACTACGCATTTGCCACTGGATATAGACTTATGAATATCTTCAGTTAATCTTAGAATCGCTTTGGTGCAGCTATGTTTTTCTCTAAAACCCGACTGATTTTTTGATATTAGCTTATTTTCTTCCAAATATTCTGTGAATTGGTCACAACTCGTTTTTCA